CGTGGGTCATTTGCCTGATGTCTGTTTCTCGGTTAGTTTTGCCCTAGTGCAGTGAAAGGGTGCACATAATGCTTATTAAAGAACATTTGTGTTTCATTTGTTTCTAAGCCCATTATTTCTTTTGGGACGTAATTGGCTCAGCTTTAGGATTTTTTCCAGTAGTCTGAATCTTAAATCAGTTGGAAGCCATAGGCCGAATTGCAGCGTTAAACCGTGTTAATGCTCGGTGTTGAACTTACTTGGTCCTACTACGTCCGGTTTGCCTTTTCCACGTGGCTTTGCCAAGGGAGTCCAGGCTTTCAGGTCTACAAAATTTTTAGTTAATAAGTCAATTCCTTGCATCTAGGACTCTATTGACCACCTTGGCATTTAAATCCCATGACTTTCTGCTACGCCGCTGCCTCTTTCACTGATGCTCAACAGTCATAAATTTGGAGTTGCTATTATTTAAAATTGGATTAGTATTTGATATTGTTGAATACCTCTAACCCTGCGTTGTATCGTGTGAGCAGGGCAAAGGTCAAGCATCCTATGAAAATACATTTCTCAACTAAGTAACATTTATTCGATTCTTCCGGGAGTCCAACGGTTGCAGTAGATGACCAGATTCATAATTAAGTGTGAAATATTTACGGTATGTATTAGTTCTAATCAGAGACAAAGAAACTTCCTAGTACTTTTGAGATAAATTAGTCTTGGCTATTCTGCTTGCATAACACCGGAACAGGTGCATAGTTAAGTCAACGTTCACGTTTATCTTCAAAGCACATGAATTATCGCGCCGTCTGTTATTTGAATAGAAGTTTATGAGGTCTTTATTCGTCTCGATGCTAAAGATACCTCACGTTTATTCCTTTCAGTGAATGTCTGCACCCTCTTCCTGCCTTCGCCTCAACAGATTCGCTTATATTAAATCAATCATGCTTAATCTATGGGCTGAAATCAGTTTTCTAATGACGTTTTATTGTTTTTCTGTAGCAAAACGCACATGCTACAGCGAGTTATCTTTGAGCCTATAAAGCTGTTAAATTCCGGAAAGACCCAGCTTATGTTCTGAGCTTATAGCAGTCGGGCATCCTCATTGCCTCATCCTCACTTCAACCAGCCTCTGTTGATTACGATGTTCGTAGGGACTATTGTTACAATGAATTGTAGGCTCTGTATGTTGGCGTGTTATAGCAGACTTTCTTTTTAATGTATCAGAAGTAGCACAGACGTGTGAGAAGAACCGAGCTTGATCTGAAATTTCAGATTCTTTGTATGATGCTTGCGATAAAAATTTTATACGGTTCGCAACTTGCCGAAGCATACGATCGTCTCTGCATGTAGTATTCGTGTAGTTTGAGCAGAATTGTTTTTAGAATTGATCATTCTACAGCTGTAGACATTTACAAGGCGGTCGGGGTCTGGTGCATGATGTACGGTCATGCGCCATGACCCATATTGCTGACTTATCTAATAAATAACTATATTACTAACGTATACAATAACTAATTTTTAATTGTTATTATAACTGTTCTAATAATAACTGTGTTATTATTCTGTATTACTAACTAGATCTAATAAATAAACTTATGCGATACTCTTTTTCCCTCCTTTTGATATGTTTACTTTCATACACCATGAATGAGTGCAGCGAATCTTGTTTACGTTTCAAAAATGTTTCATTCTCTTAATCGTAAACCTAAAATTTTAGGACGAATGCCACTTTTTAAAAAATTTTAAAACAGGCAGGTTCAAGGCAGCCTCGAAACTACTGAAGGTATTATAATTTTGTTCATAGTTTTTAATTTGTTTAATTATCTTTTATAGGCATCACGACGGGTTATTTTGCTTAGTGGCACCCCCGCATTGTCCAAGCCTTCGGAACTGTTCACTCAGATCAGTTGTGTAGCTCCGCGTTTGTTCAGAAGCTTCCCAGAGTTTGGCGACAGGTATTGCAACCCCAGAGAGGTACTGAAATCTTTTGCCGTCTAGCTTGCTTGTTTCACACTGTCTTTTCGTTGTTAGATAAATATTGGTGGGAAAATAATCAAAGACTACAGCGGTGCTTCGAACCTACCTGAGCTACATCTGTTGCTTAATGAGACCATCATGATCAGGTAATTAACAATCCTTGCCCTGAAAAAGAGGTACAGTGAGCATTGTAGCAAAGTTTCGATATGACCAAATTGAGAGACTAAGATAAGGGTTAGTTTTAAACATGTGTTTGAAAAAACAGCAGAAAGCGGTTGAATTATGTCCATTAATTCGCAGCATGTGTTCTTTTTCCTCATGTATATTGATGTTTTCTCTCCTTCGCAGTCAATGTTTATCACTAAAAATGTGATTTTATAATTCTCGTGCTACCACTCACAATCTCTGAAATTGTTATGCACAACGTAAATGAAAAAGATATTCTTACATGACAAATTCGTGCAGTCTGCATTTAATAAATTCTGATTGATGCGAATCGTGTGCTCAGTTTGCATTCGTATAATTTATGCTACGTCTCGATTCAAAGGTTGGATAATTTGTCCAGGCATTGGTTTTCATAGTGAAAAATGGAAAATGTTGAAACAGTTTATTTGTACAGAAGGCAATCAAACAAATTGGTCAATTGATTGATTAACCTGTACCGGCATTTTGGCTCGTCTCCCGCCGAGATTCTTCAGGGTAGTCCGGGTTGTGTTCTTTCGGCGATGCTGACGATGGAGTAGTGTTTATGAAGCTCATGACCGAAAAACTACTTGACCAACAGCTGCGTGCCACAGAACGAACTTCGAAAATCAACCCTGTCCACCGTGAAAAAGGCCCGTGAAACATTAAAAGAAATGTCGGTACTGCTTAATCACCCGACTGACCTATCTGTTTGTATTTTATATAAATAAACCGTATTTTTATACAGTTTTCAAGTAACAGTTTTGAAGGCAGATCTTGTAAAAATGGATAATTTGGACATTCAGGCTTTTTCCAGTTGCTCTTTGTCGCTGCGCGATGAAGCGTATTTTTCACTATTTTCCTGCATAACTCCAGTGGAACACGGGATTTTGGATGAAGATACCTGTTGCAGTGAGTCTTTTTTGATAGGCTGAAAACTCCGACTTCCAGTAGTCTTCTTGGCTGTCGCTTTTTACTATCACGTCCAAAAATGATAGGGTTTGCTGTTGTTCCACTTCTGTCGTGAGTTTTGTGCTGTATATTTTATCCCTTTCGTTCTTATACGCCATAAAATCGTTCAGAGTTGTTTTTTTGCGTCGTCAGAAGTAGAACGAAAATATCATCGTTAAACCGCAATTTGAGCAAGGGAGAAAAGTTGTTCAGCATTGATCCAAGCTTCTTTGTCAAAGCCGTCTGTGTTCAGATACGCTAGCGCTATACCGATCGAAGAGCCCGTGGGAACGCCGTACGTTTGATGGTGAACCCTGTCGTGAAATTTGAAATTTACACCTACCATTACAAGAAGAAATTCTTCAACGCTGCAGTTTCTCAGAGCGCTTATTATTCATTTACATTCCGCTGCCGTATCGTACAAAATAACAGGCAGTACTTGAGCAAGAAGAACGTTTGTGTCGACGTTGCTGAAACACGCTATCACGTCCAATAATGCCATGCAGCAATCCTGGCCAGCGTTTTCCCTCGCTTGCTTGATAAAGTCGTTCCTGATTTTTGTTCTGTACCTCATCTTACTGGACGCTGGTTTCAGCAGTTATGCCAGTTCTTTAACTACCCAGTAAGTAAAAGTACCTATTGCAGGAATTATGATACGTATCGGTAAGCTAAGTTTATGTATCTTGACCAGTCCATAGGGTTGGCACATTGAACAAAATTCATTAGTCAGGAGAATTCACAAAATCTATACTGTCGTTAAAACTTCCTTGTATAAAAGTTTCTATAAATCCAAGAGGAGATATTTGGAATATTGTTATCCGTGTTGGCATTAATTTTGAGTTGGATATAAATGCCATCTTTGGAAAATGCTGTAACATTTCATTTCTGTACGTTCTCCAGCATTTATACAGTTTTTGCTCTTTTGTCCGTTGATAAGACCATGAGGTCTTTGTGAAACTTCTTTAGTCTTTTGAGAGCGTCAGAGGGATGCTTTGACAGACTGATTGCGATTTGGCTGTATTATGAATGATTTAGCAAAAGTTTGCGAAGCTTTCTTCTTGTAGGTTCTTCTGGTTCTCATTAACACGTAGAAATTGGGCAGTGGCACAGTTGGTTGGCAGATTGCTTTGCACGCTACAGTACGGGTTTAAACGCAGCGTACAGCTTGAATTTTTCTTATGAACTTCTAATTCCCTTGAGCATGGAACTCGTCCCACTTTTCCTTGGTGGAACGAGCTGAAAAATGGGTAGGAGGTTGTTGACTATAGAATATAATGGACAGTATGGTGCTTTGGTATGGTCATGCAAAAGCATGCGAAACACGACCATGCTCTCTGATGCGTACATCTTGTAGCTGGAATTCGACTTAACCTACCTCATAGTTGACTGAGAGTCAGCACAAAGTGTAATTGTAAATTGAAAAATAATTTATGCAGGAAACCCTTCTCAATCCTGCAACAAGATCTGAAATATTATACCTAAAGTTTTTGACTGCTGAAGCGTAGTCCAAGAGCTAGGAAAGCCCTTTCGCTTTGGTTAAAACATGCATTGCTAAACGTAAGGACGAGACTATGACGAAAATCTGTCAGTCATAAATGTTGAATGATAGTTTTCATCGCTCTTACGAGAAGATCTTCATATTTTCTTCATTGTTTCAAACATCAGTAATCTGTTACAAAAACGTAACCAGGCAGAATGACGCAGAGCTGTCATGCAGGATTACGTCATAAATATTTGCTTATTATGCCCAAATGTTGACTTTACTGGAGTTTTTCATTTATTCACTCCTGATGATATTACCGTTATTACCGAATTTCTTCGATTATTAAAACCTTTCCATCTTTGTTTTAAGTTTGGATTTTTTAGCCATGCATAAAGGAAATGATCCGTTGATGAATTATAGGCCCAGAATTACAAACTCTTTCAAAGAAACTCAACCTGTTATTGTGACAGCGGTAAATGTAAAAATTCGCGATAATTTTAAGTACCACTTAAAAGCATTCACTCGCCATGGCACACGTAACATCGAAATCTATCAGGCGAACGTAACAGTGCGAGACCTAAACTAGTCTGAAAAAACAGCTGAACAATGCAAAGCTGTTGCCTTAAAATTATGTACCTACTACTATCGAATTGTGTACCTACTATTATTATGTACCTATCTCATTTGTAGTTATCGGTGATGGATCTTCCCTGAAAGAGTGCGATTTTAAATGCAGTTGGCAACAGTCCCAAATGAGCTAATATTTGGTTTGAAGATGAAGAGGTGACTGCATGAAACAGTTTCATCCTGCTCTCGGTAAACTAATTCTGACTGTACTTCCTAGTCTTTTCGGCTGTAATTTACAGTCAGGTTATTGTCCT